TGAAAAAACACTTTATATTGATGCGATCTCTAAAGGTTTTTTTTTCTCTAGAGGATTCAAGGCTCAGATGATTACTTTAAAGTCATAAATAGTTTCTAGCAAAATGCCATGAATGTGATGGAGGCACGCTCTATGACTCCCACTTCCTCCCTGGAGCAGCCATAACGAACCCCTGTTACAGCTGGAGCACCTGCCCTGCCCTTTCCTCTCATTCCCTGTTGTGTTCTACCAGGAGTTTCGTCTGAGAAAGGAAACATTGACTCCAGTAACATTTCATTATAACCAGGAGGAGCCATCGTGGCCTGTGAGACTGCTTTGTGTTTAACCTTTCTGAACGCCCTGGCCAGGATAAGCGAAGATCTGTGTGGGCTGTACAATCCTGTTTAGTGGCTTGAGACTCAAGGCTTTTCTGACCTTATCCTGGAAAACATCATAAAGGCATGTTTTCTAAACGTTGTGTACAGGGTATGCAGAGGATATCAGATTTCTGTCAGAAAGCCCTCGGATCATTTTCAGACAATTGATGTTCAATATGAGCTGTCTGCCTAGAATCATAAATATTTACAAGGCTGACATTTGATTTTTCTTATGAAGTTAGAGAAGACATTTTAGCTGCCACTTAAGGTTTTAGAGGGAAATTTGCTGTTGCTTTTGGTGATAAATGTGTTTGTGGAACCCCTTTTGACGGATTGCCTTGTTGGTAACTTTTGGGGAAGGTCCTTCCTGTGGCAGACACAAATGTCAATAGCCTCTTAGGAAATGTTCATGTTTTTCAGACTGTGATCAGAGGTGATTAACGTTTCAGTAGCTGGGATAGAGGCACAGTGCTAGTGAGTGGAGGAACTGATAGCTCCAGGTGGTCTGGCTTCTGGATCTTTCTATCCACTGCACTGAGCTGCCCTTTGCCACCTGCTAGAGTCACCGCACCATTGACTAGCTACTCTTCTCAATATTTGGCCAAGTATCTGCAAATCCCATTGTGTTCGCTTCTTCCTTTGCGTTGTGGTTAGAGGCTCAGTTGCTGAGGATCGACGAGAAGTTGGACAGGGGAAGTCCATGAGTCACAGGTCCTCTTCCTATCCACAGTAGAAGCCTGGCTTGATGGGACACATCAGTTTTAAAGGGCCATTATCATGAAGAATGAAAAGCCAGCCTGATGCCACATCTGGTGTCTACTGTTTCCCAGCTTTGCATTCAGCAACTCCATGTGGTCATATTAAACTAAATATTTACAGCAGAAGCATGGCCATCTCTGTAGATCAAGTCTCTTCCCTGCCCACTGGGCAGTAAATACTTACTAGTCTATCCTTGGAGAAGAAGGTAAATCATCAAAAGTCAGTTTTGACTTAATTCCATTCCAGTCAGATGCTAGCACTGTCAACCCCCAGCATCTAATGGACATACTTCCTCCTCATTAGTCAACCTTGCTCTATCCTGTTTCTGAGACCCTGCTCTAAATGCACATGAGTCTGAAGCAGACGAGGGGAACCTACATTTTCCTGGGTACTGGGCAGGTGTAAAGCATTGTTCAAATCTATCCAAAATCACTATTAGCATTAATGATGAATTCTTTGCATTTCCTGTAACTAAGCAAAGATATGGGGGATGAGGCATTATGAGACTCCATTTGGCAGAGAGGGTTCACTCTCTTTTTGTCCAGACTGCCTTAAGTAAAAGGAACATTAGTCTCACAGCCACCCAGGCCACCCTCAGGCCTACACCAGCCACCTAGAACCCTCCATGGATGCTTTGAGACCATTAGACAAAGATTGCAGCCATTGGCTCTGGCTCCTGAAGGCACTGCCCCAGTCACACATGTTTGAAACAGTTTGTACCATAATTCTGTCTATCATAAGCCTTGATGTACCCTTTGCACCTTAGCAAGAGAGCTCTTCCCTAAGTGGAGGGAACTGTCATGACTGGTGCTGAGGGACAGGGCTGTGATTGATCTCAAACGTCTTAATGACGTGACATAAGAGGCAAGGCTCTGGTGGTCCCAGCACCTTTCTTTAGGCTCTGTAAGGAGGCTGTTTGGCTTGGAGGTGCTCATCTGCGCTGCCTTCGCTGATTTGCAACATCAAGCCAGATCAAAGCTTGTCACTACCTTGTCACTCGGTAGTGCAGACAGCACTAGAAGAGAGAAAGCAGTGTAGAGAGCGGCAGAGGCAGCTGCTGGGGCAGGAACGCGGGTGAAGGTGGTGACTGTGGCATGACAGCTGAGCAAGCACCAGCCTCTGGGGGGAGGCTTGACAACTAATGATGGGGCAGGTTCCATGGGCAGCACAGCGTGCAACCCGGGGACCTGATAGTTCCCAGCCTCCAGGCTGCAATTCTTAGCTCCCGAACAGTCTAACTTGTGTTCCCAACTGCCAAGCCTGAGCTTCTAAACTCAGAGCATCCACAGCTCCTGTTTGACAGTCTGAGAGGTATTGTTCTATTGGCCTTCGAGGAGGTCTCCAGAGCTTTTACTGGCTTTGGATTCCAATGCTGAACTCATAAACAGCCCATCTTGTCTCTAAGGGCAGGTTTCCAAACCCCTACATTCCCAGACTGCCAGTGCAGAGCATCTGCAGCTTCTGATGGACAGCTCATAGTCAGTACATAGCCTGTTCTTTGCCATCCCTAGTGATCCACTGGAGACCCTGTGTGCCTGCTGGGATCCCACTCATTGGTAACAATCTCATGTAATCTCAACAGAGGTAAGTCATTCCAGCAGTCAGCAGTGGCCATTAAGTTCTGGAAGAGGTCGGGATAACAACTGGTCCATCTGTGTGGTGTCCCCCATACCCCACCCATGTGTGTATGTGTACAAGTATGTGCAAGTGTGCATACACATATGTGCAGGTCAGAGGACAACTTCATGTGTGTTTTCTGACTCTGAGATGCTGTTCACCATCCATTTATTGAGACATGGTCTCTTACTGGCTTGGAACTTATTGAATATGTAAGGCTGGCTAACTGACCAGTGAGTCCCAGGGATCTTCCCATCTCCATCTTCCCAGTACTGGGATTATAAGCATGTGTCACCACACCTGACTTTTCCTATATAGGCTCTGGGGTTTGAACGCAAGCACTTTGCCAATTGAGCCATCTTTCCAGCTCCCTGGCATTGTGAACTTTGTATATTAGAACATCACATTGTAATGCCAAAGGTTGGGCATGCTTATTTGGTAGGCAGAAAATGCTTCTACCCAAGATACCTGTTACATGCTGATCATTGTAAATCATAGCAAAGAAGTTAAGGTAGGAAGTGGAGCCAAGGTTACTAGTTATTCGATTTTAAGAAACTTGTTTCCTGGGCTATCTGCTTAGACACAATATAATGGCAAGTTTCTTATATTGAAAGTGGAGAAGGGTGTGTTTTAGTTGCTATAAGAAACTGTCCCAAGAAAGGCAACTTAAGGGAGATAGGGCTTATTTTGGCTCACAGTGCAAGGTGCAGTCTGCCACAACTGGGCAAGTTAAGGCAGCAAGAGTTATAAACATCTGGTCATATCTAATGCCCAATCAGGAGGCAGAGAGAGATGAATACATGTTCAGCTTCCCCCTCTCCATTTTATGCATTCTAGAATTGGATCCTTTGCAGCGGGGAATGGTCCTGCCAGACATTAAGATGGGTCCTCCCATATCAAACAGAAACAGGATAATCCCTCACAAGCATGGCCAGAGGCCCACCTTTTAGGTCATACAGATTCTGTACCTTGATACGACACTAATCATCACAGGGAGGCAGCAAGAGAAATCAGATGATATGATCTCATGACTTGATCCTTCGAGGCTGATGTTGAGGATGAAGAGGGCCTACTAGGAAAGCAGGCAATCCCAGAAGCTGAAACAGGCCAGAAAGCAGGCTCCCCTGTGGACCCTCCAGAAAGGACCAGCCCTGCACTCCTCATGCCATCCCTGACCTTGGTAGATTTCTGTTCTAGAGAACTGTCAGACAACAACTATGTGTTCCATCATTTGGTTTGTTACAGCAGCAGTAGCCAACTCGTACATGCTAACCACCTTGCACTCAGGAGGAGCAGCGCTGCTTTTTAACAACCCAGAGTTTAAGATCCCCTTCTCCAAACACATTTCTCCATTTCTGCTCTTCTGTCTTAATGAGCTGCTTAGGTATTCATCATGTTCTTCAGTCTCTGGCTTCCCACACGCATATTTCATTTCCTTCTAATTATGTGAATTTTCTAGCAGAGTTGCTGGCACACGAAAGATACCCACTAAAGCAGTGGTGGTGGTAGTGGTTCTGATTGCCAGCACGCCAAAGGGAAATGTTTATTTATCTATTCTTTTAACCTTCACACAACCTGAAGCAATGCTTCTCTCAAGAGCAGTTTCCTAGGAATCACTTGTGAACTTGAACTGAAAGCATGTTGACAAAAACCAGGAAGACAATTCTTTGAAAAATTGGGTGAGTTTTAATTAAGGAAGTCTTTAAAATATTAATGAAAATGACTCAAACCGCCCTTTTATTTTAAGTTCAAATTTTCAGGCATCATTATGTATGCCTTGTATCTCTTGCTTATTTCTTTGGAAAAATCCAGTGTTTGATCTCTGTCCTTTTCTGATTTTTCATTTCAATAAAAAAAGGCATCCATTTCCATCAATTGTGTCCCAATGCAAACTGAAAACCACCCTTTTATCCTTCAGAAGATGAAATGAATCCATCACTACATACAAATTGTTTAATTAATAACTGCTTCTAATTTAGATTCAGCAGCTCAAGTTGTATTTCTTCAGATGATATTGATTTTAATTTTATTTTCTTCAATATTTTAAAAGAACAGGATGTCCTCATAACTCCAGATTTAATAGCTGTTCCTTCTCTAGAGTCCTTGGTGCCTCTTGAACTTTATTTGTAAGACCTTTGTCATTAACGTGGGAACCTGTCACATCAAGAGCTTGTGAGAACCCAGAATGTAATTAAACCTTGTAAATAGCAGCTCAAGCTTTAGAGTAAAGTGAGGATCCGCCTGCAGGCTCAGCTGGGAGTGGACCGTGGCTTACTTTCTGGTTAGTCTGCTCCTGGCTCTTCCCTGTGCTGCCCCTCTGTACTGATGCCCAGTTAGGAGTCACATGCACACCCTCTCCTGGTGAGTCTGCTGTGGGTCCTTCCCCTGCACTGCCCTTCTACTGTGACTGTATGTGGACCTGGGCTTTTTTTTTTTATAGTCTATTGCGATTTCAGTCTCTCTATTTGTGATGGGGCTGTTTTAGTTGTTGGTCTCTTCTTGGTTTAACTTCAGCGATTCAGATGTATCTAGAACTTCATTTATTTCTTTTACATTTCCCAGATTATTGGAGTATAGGTTCTTATAGCATTTCCCTATTATTTTCTGAGTTTCTTTGTAATGCTTTCCTCTTCATCTCTAATGTTATTAATTTGAGTCTCCTCTTTCTTTCTTTTGGTTAACTTGGCCAAGGATTTACATGCCAGTTAGTATTTATGTCAATTTGACACAAGCTGGAATCATTTGAGAAGAGGGAGCCTCAACTGAAAAACTGCCTCCGTAAGATCAGCAAGTCTGCAGGACATTTTCTTAATTAGTGATTGATGGGGGCAGACCCAGCCCATGGTGAGTGATGCCACACCGGTGTTGGTGGTCCTGGGTGCTGTAAGAAAGCATACTGAGCAACCCATGAGGAGCAAGCCAGTCAGTGGCACTCCTCCACGGCCCTTGTATCAGCTCCTGCCTCTAAGTTCCTGCCCAGTTCTCATTCCTGCGCTGGCTTCCCTCAGTGAACTGTAACTTGGGATATGTAAGACAAATAAGCCCTTTCCTTCCCAAGTTGCTTGTGGTTGTGGCATTTCATCATGGTATGGGCTGCTGAATAGATGCACATTTGCTGGCGTTTGGGTGGAATATTATAGGTATATGTTAGGTCCATTTAATGTCTGAAGTAATTTGATTCCTATGTATCTCTGTTTATTTTTTGATCAGATGATTCCCCCCACTTTCAAAAGTTGGGTATTTACATCACCTACTTGTAGCTGGAGAGCTTCTCTCCAGGTCCAACCAAGTCCCCACAGTCCCACAACCCACCTACAAAATAATCACTCAGACGCTTATATTACTTATAAACTGTATGGCAGTCGCAGGCTTCTTGTTATTTACTTCTTCTATCTTAATCTATATGTTGCCACGTGGCTCGTGGCTTACCGGTCCTTATATCTCGCTTGTCATGGCGGCTGCTGGCAGCTCTCTCTCTGCCTCAGCCTTTCCTGTTCCCTCAATTCTCCTCTCTGTTAGTCCTGCCTATACTTCCTGCCTGGCTACTCAGTGTTTTACTTATTAACCAATCAGAGCAACACATTTGCCATACAGAACATCCCACACCTACTGTTACAGAATTGGGGTTAATCTGTGTTTTAAAGTCCAGGACTATATATTTTTTTAATTGGATACATCAGGAATTGGTGCATATATGTTTAGGATTGAAATGGTCATAGGACTTGAGAGAATCAAGCTGGTACTGACCTGGAAGCCCTGATAGTATTTGGAAGGTACTATGCAAGCTACCAAGTGAGAAAAATAATCTATAGTCCTACCAAGCTGTAAAGCCTGTGAACTACAATAACCAGCCCAGCAAAATGTCACCAATGGTGTAACAGTGGCACTTATATCATGGGGTAACTAATAGCTGTCTAATCAGATTTAAGGTTGATTCAAAATGAGGGAATTCATGCCTAGTACTGTAAGCCTGGGAAGAACCACCTGTAGCTGAAGAGGTTATAGACTCTGAAAGAAACATGCCACTGTCACTTTGCTAAATCAGCACAGCTCCAAAGTGCATTGCCGCTCATTTTTCCTAATTTTAAGGGTTTTTTGGTGTATGTGAGTGTTTTGCCTGCATGTCTGTGGAACCCTTGTGTGTCTGGTGCTTGCAGATACAAGACGAGGGTGTCAGTTCTCCTGGAACTGAGTTATGGGCATCATTGTAGGTGCTGGGAATTAGATCTGGATCCTCTGGAAATCAGCAAGCATTCTTAACTACCAAGTCATTTCTGCTGTCCCCTCAATATTTATTCTTGTACCCAGAGTTAAGTGCAGCTTTCATCCTCAATAAACAACTTAGCTTCCTTTTGCAGCTTATAGAGGCTATTATAGAAATACACTACTGGTTAAAAGTGCAGAGAACGAATAACTGTGGGGAATTTAGCCCCAACTGATGTCTACAACATAATTCCTACACCTAATGCTCAGGAATATTGAGGGTGGAAAGATTGTGAGAACCAGATGACCAGTATAACTGCTGGAAGATAGTATCATCTAGACATGACAGGGATGCTGGACCCATGAACTCCCAACAATATGGTAGTCTATACAAGACATGCATGATTGTACAAGTCCACATGCTAACATGGGTGAGGAAATTTTCTACAAGGCCCCCTTCCTTGATAAAGTGCTACAGGTAGTCTGTAGTTACTAAGGGAAAAACAATCAGTTTTTTTCCCAGAGATGAGTGAGTCCCTTGATAGATTTATCAATCCTAAGTGGTCAACTCTAAATACATATGCATAGGGACAATGCTAATTGAACTCAGTAGGTTTATATATGTATGTATAAAATAAAGGAACATTTAGAAATCAGGGTGAGTATCTTCTGGGAACTACCATACTTCCCATTATCACTGGAATAACCCTATTATTTTTTCCTTCAATCTGTTGTTATAGTAGGTCATAGTTATAGATATTCCAGTGCTGAATTATCCTTGCACTGGCGGGATATCCCAAATATTTTGTAGTGTGCTTTTGATAGAGCCAAATGCAATTTCCTTATATTCAACATTTTTACGTCTATGTTCACAGATGAGATGATATTGTTGTCCAGTTTTTGTTTTGAGACATCACAAAGTGAGTACTCTTACCTCTTTCTCATTCTCTGGAAAGTTTGGAGAACATCAAGGAACTTACCTGACAATTCTGCCAGGCCTTCCCGGAGCTCAGCTTCCTCATGGGTCATGTGAACACCAATATTATGATTCTGAGATTTAACTGATGAGGTGTGTGATGGTCAAACTTGATTGCCAACTTGACTACATTTGGAAGTAAAAAAACTTAAGTAGTGGGCACACCTGTGAGGGATTTTTCTTGGTTGGATATTTAAGGTTGGAGACCTACCTTAAATCTGGATCATTTGAGGTCAGCAGATCCACTCTTAACTCTGGGCTGCATCTTCTGGTGGCAGCCCACACACATAAAAGAAGAAGGAAAAAGAAATATTGTGCCATCTACCATAAGGAGAGGCTTCTTAAATGCGTATTAAAAGATACTCTGTTCTTTTTCCGTCCTTTTACCCTAAGTTGGTGTCTGTCCTTGATGGCAAGGCATATTTCTTGGAAGCAGCAAAAATATAGATCCTGCTTTCTAACCCAATATGTTAATTCTTTTTTTTCTTTTTTCTTTATTTATTTTTCTATTGTCAGCTTGATACAGTATAAATTCTTATCCTATTAGTGAAATGTTTCATTGAGGCTTGCCCAGTAATTGAGTAAAACCGAGACTTATTATAAGCCACAGTCATCCCAGGGTCCCCCCTGCTATATAGCCTCCCTGGTTCTGTGGGTTGCAGTCTGATTGTTCTTTGCTTTATATCTGGTATCCATTTATGAGTGAGTACATACCATGTTTGTCCTTCTGGGTTTGGGTTACCTCACTCAGGATGATATTTTCTAGTTCCATGAATTTGCCTGCAAATTTCATGCTGACATTGTTTTTCTCTGCTGAGTAGTACTCCATTGTGTATATGTACCACATTTTCTTAATCCATTCTTCTAAATATAACACCAGCAGCACAGACACTGGGCACAACAATTAATAAATGGGACCTCTTGAAACTGAGAAGCTTTTGTAGGGCAATAGACATGGTCAATAAGACAAAAAGACATCCTACAGAATGGGAAAAGACCTTCACCAACCCCACATCTGACAGAGGACTGATCTCCAAAGTATATAAAGAACTCAAGAAACTAGATATCAAAATACTGAACAATCCAATTAAAAAATGAACTAAAGAGCTAAACATAGAATTCTCAAAAGAAAAATTACAAATGGCTGAAAGACATTTAAAGAAATGCTCAACATCCTTAATCATCAGAGAAATGCAAATCAAAATGCCCGTCAACTGAAGAATGGATTAAGAAAATGTGGCACCAATGTGTTAATTTTCATCTTTTTATTGGAGAATTGAGACTGTTGAAACTGATCATTATTGAATAATGCTTATTTATTGCTGTGGGACGTTCTGTATGGCAAATGTGTTGCTGATTAGTCAATAAATAAAACACTGATTGGCCATTGGCTAGGCAGGAAGTGTAGGCGGGACAAGGAGAAGAATAAAGCTGGGAAGTGGAAGGCTGAGTCAGAGAGACACTGCCAGCTGCCACGATGAGAAACAGCATGTGAAGATGCCGGTAAGCCACGAGCCACGGTATAGATTTATAGAAATGGATTAATTTAAGCTGTAAGAACAGTTAGCAAGAAGCCTGCCACGGCCATACAGTTTGTAACCAATATAAGTCTGTGTTTACTTGGTTGGGTCTGAGCGGCTGTGAGGCTGGCAGGTGAGAGAGATTTGTCCTGACTGTGGGCCAGGCAGGAAAACTCGAGCTACAATTTATTCCTGTTACTTTGTTGCTGTGGTGTTGTTTTCTTTTTTCTTTCTTTTTTTTTTTTTTTTTTTTTTTTTTTTTTGGTTTTTCGAGACAGGGTTTCTCCGTTTAGTTTTGGTACCTGCCCTGGATCTCACTCTGTAGACCAGGCTGGCCTCAAACTCACAGAGATCCACCTGGCTCTGCCTCCTGAGTGCTGGGATTAAAGGCGTGCATGCACCACTGCCGCCCTGCGTGGTGTTGTTTTCTTAAACCTCCTTTGGTTTCCTGTTCTAGGATTATATTCCTTGTGCTCTCCTGGGTGTGTTATCAAAGCCTTCACACACATCCCACAAGCTCCTGAAATCTGGTTTTAAGTCACCTCATTTTATAGATTACTAATGTTTGGAGAAAACAAAGAACTTGCCCAGGGTCACAGATATATATATATATATATATATATATATATATATATATATATATATATATATATATATATTTAATTCTTAAGTTTATTTCCTTAATTTGATCAACCCACAGGCTCACTAGAGAAAAGCTGGCAGAAATTTCAAAGGTTCTCTCTCAGAGAAAGAGACTGTGAACCTGGAAATGGTCTGGGAGCACTGAGCTGGAGCTGTCCCCACGGTGGCTGGAGCAGCATGGTATGTGCCAGGGTGAGTGGTCGTGATTTTCCTGATCACTATTTTCTCTGGGTCATTCACCATGCAGTGCCCTGTCACACAAGGTAGCACACTGGACCTTGGCATCTATGCTAAAGAAATATAACCTATTGTAGATCCAAAGTCCCAATTCAGTCTGTTTGTCCCCAGCTGTCATTTCTCTGTAGGGGAATATTATTTTAAGGTGTGTTACTTTTGTTTATGTTGCATTTGTTTAACTCTGTGAAGCTGTGTTACTGTGCCTGTCTAAAAAACAGTACTGTGTTACTGATGGTCTAATAAAGAACTGAATGGCCAATAGTGAGGCAGGAGATGGCAGGTAGAGAGGATAAATAGAAGGAGAAATCTGGGACAGAAAAAAAAAAAGAAGTAGCCAGAGAAGGAGGAGGACATTGGGGAACCAGTCACCCAGCTACACAGCAAGCTATGGAGTAAGAGTAAGATTTACAGAAGTAAGAGAATGGGGAAAGCCCAGAGGCAAAAGGTAGATAATTTGAATTAAGAAAAGCTGGCTAGCAACAAGCCAACCTAAAGTCAGGCAATCATAATTAGGAATAAGCCTCTGTGTATGATTTATTTGGAAGCTGGGCAGTGGGCCCCCCAAAAGAGTAATAAAAAAGCCAACAACATTTCTCTATTTAAAAAAAAAATGGGCAAAGAGTCAATAAAAATAGCATGCTGTTAGAACACCATGAGAGAAGACTCTAACATGCTTAACTTTGTTAGAAATTAGAGACATAAAACATGAGTATATGAGCAACAGAAATTGGACTTGCTGGGTTTTGTTTTGTGCTTTTTTTCTTTTTTCTTTGGGGGGGGCACAAAGGTGGGAGAGTGGACCTGGGAGGAGTGGGAAGCAAGTGTGGTCGGGGTATATTATATGAAATTCCCAAATAATTGATAAAAACAGTGTGTTGGGGGAAACAAAACAAAACCTGACAGTGTCTGTGCCGTCTGCTGCAGAGGTCAACAGACACCCTCTACAGTCTACAGAAAGGAGAGCTGATTAATGGGGCTTGTTAGCCAGAGTAACTGGTGTTACAAAAGCCACAGCCTCGGCCCCATGAGAATAACAGATGCCAAACCCGAAGAGCTCGCTACTCAGTCCTATCACTAATAAAGGTTATGAAAGTTTTGAGTGACTTTCCAAAATTTACGTCTTACTGCTTCTTTTGGGTTGGTTAAAGAAGGGAAAATGAATCAAATTGCTAGTTTGGCAAGTTCTTGCATAAGATGTAGAGGATATGAAAGACAGGAGCTCAGCTGCAGAAGGGTTATTTTTATTAATTTTTAATTTTGATTAATATTTTTATTTTATTCATTCTTTGAAATTTTTATATACTGTTTTTTGATCATATTCACCCCAACACTCCCTTCAACTTCTTCTAGATCCACTCCCACTTCCCTGAGCCCCCAACTTGTTTTTTAACTAACCCACTGACTCAGATTTGTGCTGTCCATGTATTTCCAGGTGTGAGACCATTCACTGGAGTGTGATTGATCTTCCTGGAGCTACCCCCTTAAAGAAAACTGACTCTTCTTCCTCCTGAGGCCATCAACTGTTGGTAGTTCCTCAGTTAGGGGTGAAGTCTCGTGAACCACGTTCTACTTTACAACAGAGTCCTGGCTGGCTTGATCTTGTACAGGTCTTGTGCTGGTTGCTGTGGGTTCATGAGAGCAGGGTCCTGTCATGTCCAGGATGTCTTCCCCAACCTCTGTCTTTTTCTCTTTTTCCTTTTCCTTTTTTTCTCTTTCTTTTTTCTTTCTTTCTTTTTTTTGAGACAGGGTTTCTCTGTGTAGCTTTGCACCTTTTCTGGAATTCACTCTGTAGCCCAGGCTGGCCTCGAACTCACAGAGATCTGCCTGCCTCTGCCTACCGAGTGCTGGGCTTAAAGGCATGCGCCACCACTGCCCAGCCCAACCTCTGTCTTTTACACTCTTTCCTAATCCTCTCCCAAGATGGTCCCTGGGCCATGGTGAGGGTGTGATATAGAGCCTGTTTGTGTCTGAGCATTCCATTGTCACTGATTTTCCAGTTAAGTTTCTCAACAGTTGTGATGAGAGAAATTACCAGAAAGGGAATACCTGAGAATGATATTAAGATGTTTTATCACAGACAGGCAGGATGTCCAGGAGCCTAACAGTATTGCTTCTGGAAGGCAGTTCTTCAAGGGGCCAGTGATGCTTTAATTGTCTTATGTTTAAAATAGCAGCCTGAATTTGATTAACATAGTTTCTAGAGCCAGCTCTCCAATCCTTCATGGTGATCTACAGGTAACTTCTATGAGACTGATGTTTTGATAGATACCTCCATCATTACAAACATTTATTGAATGACTCCAGTTTGGCTCTTTATTGAAATTCTTAAATGGCAATGAGTCTATATGAGTTAATTTTCCCATCTCTGGGACAAAATGCCTGGTAGAAGCAATTTAAGGGGAGGGAGTATTCTTAGTTCATGGGCTCTGGAATGTCAATCTACCATGGGTAGACATGGTGCTTCATATCATGTATATTAGAGAAACAGAACTGATAGAATGATAATATAAATATTTAAATTCATATTATTGTTAGATATAGATATTGATACAGGCTTATAGGCTGTGGTCTAGCTGTCTCATGATCAAAAGTCCAAGAATCTAATAGTTGTTCAGTTCATGAGGCTGGATGTCTCAGCTGGTCTTCAGTATGCATTAGAATCCCTAAGAAGTAGGCTCTAATGCCTGTGAAGGAATGGACTCACCAGTGAGAGTGAGGGCAAGCAGGCAAACAGCAAAAGCTTCCTTTTTCCATGTCCTCAGTATTGTTTGCCACCAGAAAGTGTGGCCCAGATTAGTGTGGGTCTCCTGACCTCAGATTATCTGAATTTAGAGAGGGTCTTTCCACATCAAATGATCTGATCATAGTTGTGCCCCAGCTGCTTGGACTTTAGTTAGTTACAGATGTAGTCAAGTTGATAGCAAAAACAGCCATCAGACCATGGCCACCATGAAGCAGAGAAAGGAAGTACAAGAAGTACCCAAAGCAAGGTGAAGCAGCCCACCCCCCTCCCAGTGATCTACTTCCACCTGTGAGGCCCCCACCTGCTACCTTCAACTACCTTGAAATAATGATGTTGTATTATGAATATATCGATGGATAGTCCATTCATTAGGTCTGAACTCTCATGATGTAATCATCCCTAGAAATGGCCTCACAGACATACCCAGAGGTTTGCTTTACTAATCTCTTAGGTGATTCTCAAGTCCAGACAAATTAACAATCATGATTAACCATTGTAAGCCTGGTTGTCTGGGGGTGGACACTTGATATAATGATGCTAAAGATATAGTCTCTGTCTTTCCACAAGCTGAACCCTAGTGGAAGGATGACAGGCATGCTCATTGTCATATATCCCTGCCATTTGGTTGGCCAGTGTGGAGACCATGTGAAGATTCCATTTGAAATCAGTAGAAAATAAAACCACCACGATCAATTCAGTGTCTGTGATAGACGGGCTAGAGAGGATGCTATCGCACACTTCCCCTCTCTGATTCAGGAAGCTTAAGTGAAGGCTATCTTAATACAGCTGGTGCTGAGGAGCTCAGGAAAGATGCAGACATCCCCAGTGCTTAGTCCCATGGAGGTGGGCAGATCGTCTCCATCCCGCCAGGGGTTGATGTGATCCCTTAAGAGCGGACCATGCCCATGTCCTGCAGCAGGAGGCTGCATCCCTCCCTAGCTGGACACACAGAGTGGTAGCTTGTCTAGGGACATGCTGTAGGAGGCAAGCACAGTGCTGCGTGGGGACTGACTGCACACAGCTTCCTAGGCCAGCAGGGAGCCCTCCCTGGGATCCAGAAATCTTGTAGAGCTTGTTAGGTGGAGAAGTTCTCTTTACAATCTGATGAAGCGGGTTGTCACTTACAATAATGCCGCTTTCAGGAGCCTCTAGGTTTGCTGATGGGCCTGGATTATAGACTTCTCACTCATCAACTTGTCCTGGCATATAGGTTTTAGCATAAGAACTGTAACAATAATTTGTTTTTCAAAATTTAAGAAGAAATTCATACTGAAGTTAAAATGGAATCTTAAGGAATTTCTTTAAAAAATAAAATAAAAATAAGACAAGACCGGAGGGATGGTTCAGGCAGTCAAGTCCTTGACTTGCAAGTGTGAGACCCGCAGCTTGATTCCCAGAACTTACATGAGAATCTGGGCGTGGTGGGGTAAGTTTGTAAGCACAGCGCTGGATAGGTGGAGACAGGTATCTTAGTCATCATTCTATCGCTGTAAAGAGACCCCATGACCAACGCAACTTAGAAAGAATTTAGTGTGGGGCTGGCTTAAAGTTTCAGGGTCGGTCCGTGATCATCACGGCAGGAAACATGGCAGCAGCCAGGTAGGAATGGTGCTCAAGCAAGAGCTGAGAGCTACATCCTGATCCATAGGCAAGAGATGAGAGAGAGAGAGAGAGAGAGAGAGAGAGAGAGAGAGAGAGAGAGAGAGAGACAGACAGACAGACAGACAGACAGACAGACAGTGACAGACTGACTCTGACTGGGCCTGGCATGGGGTTCTAAAACCTCAAAGCCCACCCCTGGTGACACACCTCTTCCAACAAAAACACACCTCCTAACCCTTCTCAAACAGTTCTGCCAAATGGGGACCAAACATTTAAATATGTGAGCTTATGGGGCTGCTCTCCTTCAAACCACCACAACAGGTATCCCTGGGGATCTCTAGTTAGCCAGCACAGTCTGTTTGGTGAGTTCTAGGCCAGTGAGAGACTCTATCTCACACACAAAATGGATGGAAGCTGAGGACCTGAGGTTGCTCCCTGGCTTCCACATGTATGGGTAAATGTGGTGCGTGTGCACCCCCTTACACATGTGCCTGCACACACCCTTCCCCCCCACACATCATGTATAGAAGACAGAAAAGAGAAGAACCTAATGTGGAGATGGATTTACAAATACAAAAAAAGACAATAAAGAAGACGGTCTTAGGAGCACACCTCATACCCTGGAGCCATCTCCTTCTTCCGAGTTTTGTGTTCTAGCTCAGTGGAATTTTCTGAATCTAACCACCTCCACCCAGAGTCCCTAGTGTTCTTATTTTCAGTCTAGATCTTGCTCACTCCCTCCATTCCAGGCATCCAATCTCCTGCCTTGACTAATGTCTGTCTGTCCCTCTGCTCCATACCAGTAACTCTTCCATTCTTCCACTCTTGTGTTGAAGTGCCACATGCTCCCTGAGTTCTACTGGTCTCCTGTTTCAGACAGGAAGAAGCCTCATCTTTGCCCTGCTCCAGGTTCATCTTCCCCTGCCCTGGTTTTCTTTGTGGCATTTCTCATTATCCAATAGCCTCGATTCTATTTCCATATCGTCTTTGGTGGTTACCATTCCTAGTTGAAATGTAGGCTCTCTCATCACAGGGTTTTATCTGTGATTCATGGATGTAGCCCAGCACCTGGAGTGGTCCCTGAATATGGAAGGCCTAGCGTGCATTTTCTAGATGAATGAGTGAGTGCATGAATGAATGCATGAACATGCATATTGCCATGGAAGCAGGGAGCAGCCAGTGATTATCACAGAGACTGTTTTTATCGCTAAAATTCGACTTTGGGTTAGGAGTTTTCCAGACAGATGGAGGATGAAGAGGGGGAGGAAGTGGGCTGCTTTCCTGGTAGAGGGGACAGCAATGATAAAAGCACAGGATTCCGGAAGAGGGAATTGAAGGAAGCACACTTGTTCCAGTGACACTTTTATGACATCTTATCTGTCCTCAGACTCCTTATCTTAAATGACTCATCATATTCTTCTGAAGTCTGTTTTGTAGAAATTGTGAACTCTGAGTCAAAGCTGCTCTGACAACCGTGTTCCTGTCAGAAGTTTGAGGCATGAAAGCTGAAAATGCAGGGTATCCTCACACGATAGTCAGAAACACAAAATAAACGTGCTGCTATGTGCGGATACTGATTGTATCACACAGGGAGAGGAGATAAAAATGGCGTGGAGGGTTTCTCCACCCTCAACTGTGATGTCTTGTAGAGTTGGACTACATCCACTCTGCATCTCAGAGTCCTGTGAGAGGATGCCATATGGCATGTTGGCTTGACCTTTCACACTGGGGATCCAAATACATAGATGGTATAGTAAATCTAAATCTCTTATATAATAGTAAGTGAAGACCAAGGATTCTCATGCCTAGAAGTTAAATGATGGCAGAAATAAAGAAAAGGTGTCATGTGGTATGGTAGAGAAAGTACTATATTTTGAGTTCTGAGTCTAGGGTTAAATCTTGGAACCATCCAATGACCTTGACCAAATGGCTTCCCTTTCCTGAGCTTAGGTTATTTTCATAATGAACAATAGATTTCTTAGGCTAAGGAGATGACTTAGTAGGTACGGCACTTATCTAACAAGAATAAGGACCCTAGATGAGATTCCCAGAATCCACATAAAAAGCCAAGTATGGTGGCACATACCTATAACCCAGTGCTTTATGATGGAGTGGAGACAGGAGAATCCCTGGAAGCTCATGGGCCAGCTGGCCCAGTCCAAACGGCTAAAGTTCCAGGCTAAGGAGAAACACTGTCTAAAACTAAAGGTAGAAGGTGTCTGAGGACCAATACTTGAGGTTGACCTCTGACCTCCACACACAGGCTGAGCATCCATGTACATACCTCCCACCCCCCCGACATGCACCCCCCCCACATGCCCCACACACATGCAGTCCCCACACAAAGACACAGAAAACAAATAAAACTGCAACAGATCTCTTCTATCAATAAGGCCCAACAGAGGTGTTCAAAACTTGTTAATAATACAGAAACCTGGGAGTTATGATTCAGGCAGACATGCGCAAACATTTTGTAAATAAAAAAAAAAAGCTAAATCTAGGAAATATTAGTCAAAATGATAGACCATGAAGATTACATAAAGAGATGATGGTGCCCTGAGAACACCATTTTATATTCTCTAAGTTATTGATGAAGTTTGCATGCTCTACAACAACACTGGTTCACTTGGGATGGAAGAAGGATGCCATATGCCTTGTTGCAGAATGGAGTCATTAGAAAAATCAACAGTTCATGGGCAAGCCCCCATGGGTAGGAATGGTTGACTGATAATGTTTTGCTGCGTTCATTATCCCCACCTCTTCCGAAGACATTGGCTGAGGAGAAATAAGGAGAATAGCAGTGTAGGAAAGAAAGTTTCCTTAAATGACCTGTGACTGACACTTCTCATGCTAGCTACCTTGTCATTACCTCTTGCCAGCTACTACCCAACTTCCGACCTTCTGGGGCCTGGGGGAAGTGGAGTCTACTGAGAGGGGATGGCAGAACCTGATTTACTCCCCCACTTTTTTTTAAAGATTTATTTATTTATTATGTATATGGTATTCTGCCTGTATGTATGCCTGCATGCCAGAAGAGGGCACAAGATCTCATTATGGGTGGTTGTGAGCCACTGTGTAGTTGCTGGGAATTGAACTCAGGACCTCTGGAAGAGTAGTCAGTGCCCTTAACCCCTGAGCCATCTCTCCAGCTCCCTGATTCACCCTTCTAAGGATCCAAATAACAGAGAGTAATCTCTGACCTCATCTATCACTCCTGTTTTTATTGCCCTTCTAGTTGATGCCACACTATATGACAAAAGCCACTTAGGAAAGGAGGAACTTCTGGCTCACAGTTGGAGGGTGCAGTCCATTGTGGTGAAGAGGCTATGGCAGCAGCAGCTTGAGGCAGCTGACTACATTGTGCCCCATGGTCAGGAAGAAGAGAGTGATAAATGTCGGTGTGCTTCCTTCTTTTTATTTAGTCTGGGCTCCAGCCCATGGCATGGGGCTGTCTAAATTCAGAGTGAGTTTTCCCACCTCAACTAACCAAAGCACATGCCTCACAGATGGGCCCAAAGGTTTGCTTCCATGGTGATACTAAATCCCATTAAATTGATAATCGTAACCATCACATACATGTCCACCCCTAACAATACATGAACAAGATTTAGGAAATACTTTTCTAGGTACTCAAGGAGGAGGACTAGATGCCTATATCAACATACAAGTTCAAAGCATTTTTTAGAGTCCAGGAATGAAGTACACTGGGCTTTGATTGAGTGCATCTTACAAGGTGGTGAGTGGTAAGACTTGAGCATAAAAGAGACAAAACACAAATGGAAGTATTTACACATTGTAAAGTACCAGAAAAATGCTGGTCCTAAGTTTCCACATTCCAGAGTCACTCATAGACCAGGGGAGACAGTGTGTATCTAAGGTTGTTCTGTGGGTGATACCAAGTGCTGGCAATTGTGCAGACTGAAGGGGGAGCATCGTCAGTTTCCAGAAGACTCACACACTGCTGCTGCTTGGTCTCTCCTTAGGGAAACTGGATATGCACATCTCTAAGGCCAGCACTCCCACTTTGACAGGAATGTCTGTTGTCCTCACGGAGTCTGGGCAAGGATAGTCCTGACGTTGTTGACAAGAAGAAAGGGCTGGAGAGAATCGAAACAGCCAGGGCAGTAGGAGGAATGGGTAAGTGTGGCAAACACATAGCACATAATGCCTCACCGCAGGCATGTATATTCTCCTAGTGAAGTGCAAAAGCCCAATAGAAAAGGACTTGGAGTTTTCAAAAGTCCATGCCAGACCCGCTCACCCTCCCTCCCTCCCTGCCCCTGCCCCCTCTCTGTCTCCTGCCCGCCAATCAGGATGTAAGCTCTCAGCTACTGCTCCAGTGCCTGCCTGCCTGTTTGCTATCATGCTTCTGCCATGATGATCAATCATGGACTCACCCTCTGAAACTGTAAGCTAGCCCCCAATTAAAGTCTTTCTTTTGTAAGTTGGCTTAATTGTGGTGTCTCTTCACAGCAATAGAACAGTAACCAAGACATATACTTTATGCTGAATTGTCAAAATTTGCATGCAATTACATCTATGTAAAGTTTAAAAACACAAGACTAAGTGATATAACCTGAGTATGTGACATACATAATAAAATTAAGAAATAGATTAAGATATGGAAGGGCAAGGACGTGATAAATTTGAAATACTGGCTGCCTGCTAGGGGGTGGGGTGAGTAAATGGTGAGGCACCTTGGGGATGCCATGATATTGGTTATCAGACAGTCGATAGTAGGTTACCAAGTATTCGTATTTTATTAGCCCTAATACTCTTTATATTTGAGAACTGATAAATCTTCAACAGATAATACTGAGTGTAAAAAAGTATAAAGTCAAACAAAACACTCAGCAAAATCCCATTTGTGGAAAATCATCCCTGAATGAGTGACATGTTGTTAGGGGATGCCCCTAATGTCAATAAAGTCATACAGGTGGGAACATGTGTGCAGACAGTGCCCCTAATGTCAATAAGGTCATACAGGTGGGAACATGTGTGCAGACAGTGCCCCTAATGTCAAACAGGTGGAGCATGTGCACAGACAGCGTAAGGGAATGGGGTAAGGGTTGGGTAAGGGAACAACAGAAAATAATATATTGAAACACTGTTGATAAAAATGGACCACTTGCAGGCCTTTGATGTTCCCTGGACTGACTCAACGTGGTTAATCACATTGTTCTGTGAAGTCCCAAAGGGAAAGAAACCTTGCTCTGCAACCTGGAATGGTCAAAGTCCAGAGGAAAAGGAATTCCCCTGGACGCTTGAGTGCTGAGAACAGGACAGCTGGCTTCCCTTGGAGAAGTATGTGTGTGGTGTGGTGTGGTGTGTGTGTGTGTGTGTGTGTGTGTGTGTGTGTGTGTGTGTGTGTGTAGGGTGCAGGTAATGAGGAAGCCACAGTGTCTTTAATAATGTAATTTCAAAGGACAGACAGGACACCATCATTCCTACCACATTCTATTTGTTATAAGCAAGTAATAAGAACAGCCCACACTCGAGAAAAGGAGAATCATCTTAGTGAAGAGGAGCCAAGGCTGTGTGGATGTATTTTAAAACCTACATGAGGTCTCTCTCTCACACAGACAGACAGATAGACACACACACACACACACACACACACACACACACACACACACACACACACACACATACTCTCTCTCTCTCTCTCTCTCTCTCTCTCTCTCTCTCTCTTTCGGGAGGGGGGGGACAGAGACAGAGAGACACAGAGACAGAGAGACAGACACACACACTCAGGGGGATAGAGACAGAGACACAGAGACAGAGACAGACACACACTTGGGGGGATAGAGACAGACACACAGAGACAGACAGACAGACACACACACACACACTTGGGAGGGAAGGAGGGGGATAGAGGCAGAAAGACACAGAGAGAGAGAGACAGAGAGACAGACAGACAGATACACACACACACACACACACACACACACACACACACACACACACACGACAATGGCACAAAGTTAAGAGACAGAATTAGAAGAAATGTCCCCCAGCTTAGACTCAACCTTCTGATGTTGTGACACAGCCCCACAATCTACTGAATGCACACTGGAGAACCACAGGATCAAATTACAAACAAAAAATTGCCAAAAGTCTCATAATGTTTTAAAATACATTTGTGGTTCTGTGTTGTACTACATAGCTATCCTGGGTCACGTTTGGACAGCCCTGGTTTAAAGTAAAATAAATATATGAATCAACAAACTTTGGAATATTTTACCCATGTACTTTTAAAAATAAAAGTAAGTCTTGGAATATTTTTTTGAGATTTATTTTATATGTGTGAGTATTTAGCCTGCATGTATGTGTTGCATCATGTGAGTGCCTGGTGTCCTCAGAGGTCAGTAGAAGATGTTGGATCACCTGGAACTAGAGTTACAGATGGTTGTGAGCTACCATGTAGGTACTAAGAACCACACTTGGGCCCGTTTTAAAGAACAATTACTCTCAACCACTGACCCATCTCTCCAGTCCCAAGTTACTGAGTTATTAAAAGCATTTTGAGTAACATATCTTTACCGACAGTTCAAAAATACTGGGGCCCATCCTGCAAATGAGTAAAAACATTGTGCTCAGATGAGGAGACCCCAGCCCCAGGAAACACCAGGTCAGGATTCCCTTCCTCCTCCCCCACCTTCTTTGGTGATGGACATCCTTCATTTAGACACATTTACAGCTTAGAGAGGTCCTCATTGAGAGGATGCCCTTTACCAGCAGATCACTGTGTGAAGCAGAATTGCTCATTTCCCATAGGTCAGGAACTGCTGCTCACCTTTGGCCGTGTGGCCTTCAAATCTGGGACTCTACCTTCTGCTTTCTCTCTTTTTATTATTATTCCTCGAGGTATTTCTTCTATGCTCTCCAGACCCGGCTGCTCCTGTGCCCCCGTCTTTGGTGATCCTATCATAAGATGAGCTTGTCTCCTCTCACGGTTTTAACTATCACACATGAACCAACCCCAGCCAAGTGCACTCTGCAAAGCCCAGCTCTCCTGAGGGGCTCTGGCCTCTATACACACAGATGCCAGAACTTTCTCTTCCGCCAAACACGTCTCAAGGGTAATTCTTACCTTCTCTGCTGTCCTTCTTTGTTCCTATCTTACCAGGTCATTCCACTAGCTAGTCCAATGAGGAAACAGAGTATCACCCAAGTTTTTCTTTGACTAGTTTCAAATGACAGCCTTTATTCAGAAGAGGGGAAGAGAACACCCCTCTGCAGTTCGACCATGGTGGTTAGCAGTAGCCTCCAGGCATCTTGAAATACACCAGCAGAGGCTGCTGGGCTCAGTCTGGTGTCCAGAAGAAGGTACAATAATCAAGAGCTTCTAGGCTCAGACTGTGCATCAGAAGCACTAGGTATTATTACTTTTTTGTTATTTTCATTTTGGATCCCTACTTTAAATCTTGTTTATAGTTATTTCAAGTTGCTTCAGATCTTTTGTAAGGCAAGAGAGATTTAAAATGTGAATGATGCTTCCCAGGTTCCTCTACAACAATAAGCCAGCTTCCATCAGTCCCACCAGCCACTACCCCACTCACTAGTTTGCTAGTCATTTATTGGGCACTTGTTATGGGCTAGGTGTTGTGCAAGGCTCCTATGATAAGATCTCTCATGGAGTTTAGTCTAGTGGTAATTTTACTGGGTAAACTGAGGCACAGAGAACTAAATGTGACTTACCTACTGAGGTAGAAATAGGTAGGTGCTTGGGAAGATGGGATGAAGGCTGGAGAGTGGGCAGGGAACAATGCATGGGAGGTAAACCCTCCGAATGAGGAGCAAGGCTGCACACAGAAATACATTATAAAATCTGCTTGCAAAAAGAGTACCAAGGCTATTAGTTTCACCAGGACTAAATCCACATCTCAGTGAGCCGATCCATTCCAAGACAGCATTTCTATACTTGTCCCCAAAGCCCTGAGGCATGCCACTAATCTACTGAGACATAGTAACTCTGTAGGAAGCTTAAAATCAAGAAATACCCAATCCCAATTTTAGTACTGGAGATCATATTAAAATATTTTAAGTATATGAACCTAAATGTATAGCATATACATAGCATATACCCTAACCCCATTCCAGAGAGTTTTAATAAGTTATGGATACTAAGGAAATAGACATCTGTCTTTCATTTTCCCTATATGCATTATTCTGACTATTCTGGGGGAAGAAGTGTCACTCAGACATATTTCATAAGCAGTCTAAATATGCTAGAGATATTGACAAAGGTACCACACTTGGCCCTGTGTGCACATCTAACCACAAACATGAACCTGTATAAGGCAATTCTTCTGAGAAGCAAACATCATCCTCTAGGGAAGAGCAGAGTCCATGATTTCAGGAGGCTAGGGGTTCTTTTCACTGACCAAAGGCAGTGAATAACTATCAAAGGAGCTGGTTTTGAATGTGGAAATGATAACTTACCAGGAACCTAAGTAGGAAGCCACTCAAGGATACTACTGGCCTTCACGCTGCTACAGATCTAGACTCCATGGGAGACTTATTGCTGAGGACCAAACCGGTGCATACTTCATCCACACAGGATGCTGCAAACACCTCCATCACTTTGCTGAGGATCAAACCAGTGATACTTTATCCGCACAGGGTGCTGCAAACACCTCTATCACTTTACTGAGGACCAAACCGGTGCATACTTCATCCACACAGGATGCTGCAAACACCTCCATCACTTTGCTGAGGATCAAACCAGTGATACTTTATCCGCACAGGGTGCTGCAAACACCTCTATCACTTTGCTGAGGACCAAACCGGTGCATACTTCATCCACACAGGATGCTGTAAACACCTGCATAACTTTGCCTTGTCACCAGTTGCTCATTTTGAGTGGTTCTTTGCCTCACTGAGGAGGCTTTTCTCCTTTCTCTGGGCATTCTGGATGCTTGCTTTTGGATGAAGAGGCCCCATCTCCATCAATTGTTTACCTTTTTGAGTGGTTCTGTTTTACATGAATATATCATTGGGTCCTTGGATGCTCCTTATATGTTTGAATCTCCATTGGGAGCTGGAGCATCCAGTCTGGTTTCCTCTGGAGCCTTCACTACATGGAGGGCTTGAATGCTGTGCATCATCTACACTAGTCTTTCATTTTC